GCTCGGATCAACATAAACCTTGCAGAAGATTAGAGCCACTGGAAAGGAAGCGAATTAAATTCAAGTTCGTTTTGGGTTTAATTGACAATAAGCAATCAGTCATTTATATTTGTTCTTGTTGCCTCTTTCGCACGCTCAATCTTTCGATATGCTCCCAGAATACTTTAGTGCTCAGTAGTATCCGTTTCCGTTGAAGAACTGCTAAGCCGAATGGTCATTGTGTTGAAAAGTGCGACATTGAAATGTGCTGCAGTGAATAATATGGTGACAGATTGAAGTGCTTTTTTCTGGCCTAAAAAGTTGTAATCAAATGATCGACTTTTAGTAAATGAATGCTCGTCATTCATTCAGTGCGCTTTTGTAAATATTTACAGTGACATGAATGATAAGGATGGTGCTTTATGAATGCAGTTGAGGGGATAAATTAAGGAATGGATGATTTTAGAATATTCGGTATTGACCCATCAGCAACAGCAGACGATGGATCGTTGAAAGGAGACGGAGGCGGAGGACAAACTGAATTGCAAAATGATGATGTTGAATCGAGTGAACATGCGCATGCGTCTTCTGCTGAAGGTACTCATGATCGAATTCCATTCACTGGAGTTAGTTCTTACTTCATTCGTCACGTTCCTCTCTTTCTTCATCACACATCGAATTCGTTCTTGAACTGAATGAAAGTTAAATGCCCTCAGGTCGATTGTATTCCCTGAGATGAGCTGCTCTTTGATTAGGGACGAGAATGAAGATTACTTGAAAAGTTTTGTTTTTAATGAGAATCAGTTATGTGATGTGTAAATTGAATCGGTTTACAGCGTTTGTTAACGTCTGAATTCGTATTCCGCTACAAAGCGGATATTGATGGTGCCGATGGTGAAGTTTGTTTTTTTTTNGCAATTAGCTGCATCAGTGTCGTGCATCTTTGTGCTCCGTTAATTTTTGAATGTACTCCTCACTGAATTTTATCATTTTGATTTTCATTCACATATTCTCATCAATCTATGGAAGTTTTTTGAAAATTTATGTGTTTGGCGAACATTTCTTAAAAGCTTTTCTTAAGGTTGATTATCAGTTGCACTGTTTTCGATAGTGCGATTTTGCATTGGTTGACAAGCTTTGCTTAAATTTCCGTAATGAGATGAAAGTTAAGGAATACGAACGCATCTGTCGCCTGCCACTCGCAGTCTCAATAGTGCCAGCCGTCACCGTATCTGCATGGCATGTATTGCCTGGCGATAGTTCAATGACACGTTATGTGGTTGTCGACGTCACTAATTCTACTGAATGGGATGCTGAACTTACCTATGGAAAGGGCAAAATTATTGGAGTACAGCCGAGAGAGATTTGTCGGTGATTATTTGATAGTAATTATGATGGGTGAGTGTGGTTTTGTGGTTGTTGTTGTGAGCAGTAGCATTTGCAGAGTGCCGTTGCTGTGTGAATGCTGCAGTGAGGTGGCATCGAATGCGTTCCAAGAGGCCGCCTCACGAGCCTCGCACATGATGCAGATGCACGAAATGGAGCGTCTCAGACTGGTGCTAGAACGACACGTCTCTGCCCATCTCGATATCACTTGGTCCATCAACCACGCCAATCTATGCGGATCGGTGCCTATCGGTCCTATTCTTTCATCCATCGCACTGCTCAAACAACTCGTTGTTCCAGCCATCTCTATCGGTTATTCACTCCTTTCCATATCCACACCACTAACAAATTTACATTTTATCCATGTAGAATTGTAAGTAATCAAGTTGCATTCTTTATTTCGTCGCCATTCCGCAATCTCTGCCTGCATGAACGTTTTCTCGACTTTAAATGGTGGTGAGTGTTATATCGGCTTTGAAATATGGTAATCTGAAAGTAACGATGATAAAGAAAGAGAATGAAATTAATCTCAGAGATGAGTGTGGATGGCATACCATGTGTACGTGAGGATGATATTGCCATCGGTATCGGTGAAATACTTGAATTACAAGTTAAACTTATTTGCTCGATCAAAGGTTTGCCATTTTATTCCGTTCATATCACCAGCACATTGTTAAACGATTTGCTATTCGCGTCTTCTTACGAAGTGATTTCGTTTGATCGCATTCGAATGTAATAAAATGAGCGATTGGCATGTTTCAGATGCGCGTCATTTTGATGGATTATTACGAGTGAATTGCTATAGAGATGTACAGAATGATGACACGTTTATTGACAGTAACGACAACGTGATAGTTCTCAATAACGAGACGGTGCCGTTCCGATTAGCACGTGTTAGTTGTTGTTTGATGGCGTTCGGTTGATCATCTGCGTTCCGAAATGGCTCATTTCAGCAGAACGATGAGTGTGCAGACGAAGTGAATACGACGCATCGATTATCAGTTGAGAACGATTACGCACCGAATGCGTCTCTAAAGGATCATCGTGCATTCTCATCTGATGTTTGTGGTGCACAGCCAGCCTCATTCACTTCGACGTTTTTATTGGTGTTCCGATGTGAAGGATTGCACAAAGTACATCATTTTTGTTGACTTTGTTATTATTGTTTTTATTGCTATTATTACTATTATTGTTGTTATTGTTACTATTGTTATTATTATTATTATTGTTATTATTATTATTATTATTATCATTATTATTAATTATTATCATATTGTTGCCCTCGTTCCACAACCCAATCCATCTGTTGACTTTGTCTTTGTTACGTTATCACTATTGTCCCCGGTCGGACAGTAATCCAATTTCCAATTTTCACCAAATTTTCCAATTTTGACTGAGTCATTCACCAATTTCCAGTCATTTTGAAGTGTGATAGTTTGCATCTTATAAGCTGTCAACCAGATGGATGTAATCGTTGTGATCATATTCGAGCAATGTTTTACTTTCACTGAAGCGTTTCGATACTTGCAGATAGAACCAGCTGTGACACTGCTGGATGGTTCGTCGCAGTTCTCCGATGAAGAGCTGTTTTATTCAGCAGTTTCAGTTAATGTCATTACTAAAGTTTGATTGACTTTTTTAGCAGTTTAGAATTGTCAATGAGATTAATAATAATGTTAGCATTATTATTATTATATTACCGGTCATTGTCAGATGAATCAATAAAAATATGTTCAGTTTGCTCATTTTGCATCGCTGATGATAAGAACATGAGATGTAATTGGTTCTCGGTTGGTTTGATAATATTAGGATTAAGGTTTTTTCGGGGGTTTTCGGGTTATTACAATGCATAATGCATTTGATGCGATTGCTGTGAATAAGTCTGAAAATGGTATCTCTTTCAAAAGATAACACCATAAACTGTATCAGATTACGCACTCACAACAACAACGAGACAACCGAAAGCGCTAGTGACAGCAATCTATCGATCCAGGGTGAACTATGAGAATTGTTGTCCTATTGAAATTCACTGAACTCTTGCAAAGATTCATTTACTTAAAAACCGAACTCTGTTGAACCTCGTCGATGGATTCATAAGCCTAAACATCAACCTCACAAGGAAATGCCGCAAGCTTTCGGAACGAGTTATGTACGTACACTCCAGAGCCAAGCAAATCATATGTAATCCATACCCAGCAGGGCCAGAGTCAATGTTTTCGATACAAATATTCTATCGATTGATTTCGATGTAAAAAATCCCGAGGACTTTTGAAGGTAGCATCAGGAGATTCGGACAACTTCTGAATGATTGGAACTAACCCTCTCGGACACATCGGGCGAAATATCCTTTGGGCGAAACATCATTAGGCGAAATGTCGCCAGGCAAAATGACCAGTCACGAAAAATTTATGGATTATTCAGTCTTATAATAAACTGCAAAGCCTTCCGGCTACAAAAGTAACCGGTGAAGAAAGTGATCCTGTGAACTAATGTGGCAGATTAATCTGTAATCTTGCATAACCACTTTGGAATGCAAAGAAACTGTACAAGAATCACAAAAGCAAGGCTTGAATTGCCTATACACTAGTAATAGGTTCCGAGCGAAAGTTCGGTCGGAATTGCGACGATCGGAATCCGATCGAAAGTGTCGCATTTTTCCGAGCGACTATCGGTCGGATCCCACCACTAGTACACACGATCAGTTGCACCTACTTCTTGACAGGAAGAGACTAACCCTTGGACAAGACATCCGTTGAAATTGGTGATCTTTATCCATGCTAAAATTCACGAACATCTCGACTGAAGCTGACCTTGTCAATGATACAAAAGTATGCAAACATCACTGCAATGAAGAATTGATGACATGGACGTTGACTGAAACTTTTGATCGTTGTAGCGAAAAAATGCCGACGAA